GGATCAAGTTAAATTTGCTATCTGCTTATTTTGAAGTGTGTTGCAAAGAATTTTTATCTTGGTAATTATTTGGGATGGAAACAATAGCTGCACAGGGATTAACAGACTATAATGGGTACAGTGACATTTAATGGTTACCAGTTATAGACTGGTATTTGGTATAGTTCTTAGTTATAACTGCAGAGCCTCAAAGGTGGACGAGAATTGGAAATACACTATTAGAAGATGCCTATAGTACTGACTAAAAGTTAAACCTAAAAGAGCCCATAGTTATTGCCTGTAAATCACGTGCTACTTCTTACCAAATGGGATATGACTGACATTGATTTGTATCTCATCTGGTAGAGCAATGGCTGAGAAAATTCTAATTTTTTTTACTGTTTTAAATACATTTAATGGTTAAGAATACAAGTACTACAATAAGTATGGCACTTTACCATGGAAAAGATGAACTAGGCTTGTAGAAGTGGGTATTTGAAGGGTTGCAACTTGAGAGTTATTTTGAGTGGTAGAAGATTATTTGAAGTAAAAAGAAAAGCTATAATACCAGATGTGGACTAGTGTGATTTATAACACACTGATGAATTGTGAAGTAGCTGGCAGATGTTTAAGATGTTTGCATATGTATTTATATACTGCTACACAGTTCAGTTCAGCTGTTCAAAAAACTTAGTGTTTTTTGAACTCAGTGTTTTTCGTAGACAAAATTACACATAATCAAGCAAAATACATGGATTATACTCAAATTGTTCTGTAATATATCAATAGCATTGAATAAAATTTGCATTTTTAAAACAAGTATCATAGCTTAACTGACTGTACCTAGGAATGAATGTATTTGCCAAGTCCCAAGGTGTGTATACTCATATATTTAACTTTGCAAGAAACACCAAATCATTCCCCATATTGTCTGTACTACTTTAGACCTCCATTAGCATTGATTTCATTAATTTTGATCTTATCATTTTATTCTTTTGACTTATTTTGAGTTTAATTTAATCTTCTGTTTCTAGCTTTTTATTTATTTGTTTGTTTATTTATTTTATTGTGAAACATGTTTTTAATTAGTTTAAGCTGTACAACACAGTGCAATAGTTATACTTTTTACCCCTCAAAGTGACAACCCTCCTCCCCCAATCCACCGCCCCACTCCCCCCACCCATAGAAAATTCTAAATCTTTAACCACCATTCTTTTCCGAGCCAGATTTCTTGGTTTTGTGACCACTCCCATTTTTAAAATGTCTTGCCATTGTGAAGATTGTCCTACTTGTGTCTATCGTTGGCAAATTCTTAATCTTCAGTGGGCAGCCCCTTACCCCCAGGAAGCGGCCTGCAACCTCTCATGAACATTCAGCCACTATGTGATCAGGAATGAAAATTAATGCTAATTTTGGCCTATGAAAAATATAATTAGCAAGGGGAATATGCTGCCAACATAAATTATGTCCCTCATTTCCATAGACAAATGGGTTTTTGAAAATTAATCTGTTTGTACAGATAATTACAGCTGACAGGTATGCCTTTCTCAGACACTCCCCCATTTTCCAATCCTTTGCTGATTCTTCATCCAGCTCCTTCAAATTCAAATTTCCCCCTCATGGGTCATCTGCTCTTCAAGAGAGGTGAACAGAGAGGTAAGAGAACTAGAGGCCTTGTCTACAAGCCCAGTTCCTCTAATAAGTCCCCAGAGACCACATTTAGCATTTGCTGTTAAGCACATAAAGGCCTAGAAAGGTTCTGACAAGAAGCTGAAAGCCTTGTTTTTTTTCTTTCTTAAGCGTGATACTTGGAGAAAGGTGATGGTTAAGGCTCACAGAAAGGTTAGGGAACAGGTAGGGAAGGGAAGCAGGGCCATTAAACACACACACACACGCACACGGGTGAAAATGTTCACGATTCTTGAATGAAAATACAGTTTATGTACACTTGGAATACTGCATACATTATCTAACTGCCAGTCATGAAGAAACATGTAGTAGTTCTTGGGAAGGCCTGGAAAGGATCACTAAAACAATATGGCGCACTCTGAAAAACTGAATGACAGCAGTGAATAGGGACCAGGAAAGCCCGCTCTAAAACTGAAAGCCTTTGTGCCCTTGAGCAGATCACTAACCCTCTCTGAGCCTTTTTTCCTTTATCTAGAAAATGAGACTCTTGTTCTAATGATTAGAGTCTTTAGTTTAGGATTTCAAAGGCCGATGGAGGTGATTGCCTACATTCCAGCAGGTAGGTTTAGCAGGGCATCCCTTTAAGTTTAAAATGGGTCCATTTAGTAAAACCTAAAGGAAATAGTATTTTACATAACAGGTGGAGGAAAATATGAAACATATTGCTATAAGAGCTGGTACGGGCTGAAAAATATAGATTTCCTTGATGTTTCTATAAATGAGGATAGAAGGTTCTTGTTGGATTATGAATGGAAATTAAGGTGCTTGGGGGATTCTTTCTCAGTCGATCTTTCAGTAGCCTTGTCACAAACAGATCACTGAGTTCAGTGAACCTTGGAAGGCAAATAAGTAACATGTTAGTCTCACTGATACTCACAACACTTTCCTTCTCTACCATCCATAAAGGTGCACTATTAGAAGCAGAGCTTGTTGATGAAGGCTTTTCCCCATTCCCTAACTCACTTCTTCTGGAGGTGCTAACAAACAGGGAAGTACCTGCAGAGCAGACAGCTGATGGGAAAGAAAGTGACGAAACATGGCCTCTGGATACTCAGCCCTTAACAATCTCCCTTGTGAGGTTCAGGCAGCCATTTATACCCTCTCCTGAGTTTGCCATCTTCTGGCTATCAGCATGTACAGATTAAGCACCAGTTACAGTCTAATATTAGAACTGCTGTCATAAAATGTAAATAATTGTTCTTATTCCATTAAATATGAAAAATAGTAGGTAAAAAGTAGAAACTAAATCTAGCTCAAGGTCAGTGTGCAATCATATGACTCTCTAACCTTGTGAATATGAAATAAGGGTTTCTTGGCATTCAGTTTGAACCCCTGAGCAAATCTCCTGCCATCCTCTAATGTAGGCACCTAAGCACAATCCCCATTTTATTCATTGCACGGTTCACCTTATTATTATTGGCTGCCCAGGGGACTGGCTGGGATGTATTTTTAAAAAGCTATTTAGTGTCATTCTGCCAAGGACCACAAGCTGTCTTAATATTGAGGCCAAGTTGACACTGGCATAGTCAAACAGAAATTTGAGAATAACAAACTGCCCCCCAAATAAACACAAATCTCAAGCCAGATCTGCTGTTTAAATCCCAGTTCCATCATTTGTATAATTACTTCTCTTGCCTGTTTCTCCAGGGTCCTTATCTCTAAAATGGAGCTACCAATAGCACCTACCTCCTAGCATTATTGTAAGGATTATGAGATCATAGGTCTCAAAAGCTTAGACAACACCTGCTACATAGTATTTAAATGTTAATGTTTTTATCATTGTTGGTATTGTTGATGATATTATTGCTACTGGTGCTACTAGATTGGAAGGTAGCAGACCTGAGTTTTAGTTCCAGTGTTGCCACTTCCAATATATTTAAGGAAACTTGCTGGACCTCAGAATTAACATTTGTAAAAATACTGTCATGCTATTAGATACTCTCTAGAGTTCCATTTGCTTCTACACCATTCAGCACCTGGATATTCCAGCTGAAATATAAGGGGAATGCTTTTGACCTGAAAAACCTAGATAAATGTGTCACTTCTCTAGTTCACTTAGCACTCGTCATAGTCACTTCATGTTTCATTATGGAAAGAACAAAAACACAATCATTTTCTTAGAGGGCTATATTCTAGGAAAGGATCAGGAGATCTAAGTATATTTCTTTATTCTTATTAAAATAACTTGTGATGGAAGTCACTGACTCTGGGAAAATTATTTCTTTAGACTTTAAGTTTTCCTAACAGCTCTATGTTCTAGCTTTATTGAATATTAAAAACCAAAGCTGTTACCTCCAAATCTTATGTAGAATTAAGTGCCCTATAAATCCTCATTTTCAGAGCTGGGTTATATTTCTGAAAATATGCTCTTATAATTAAAACTTGTAATAAAGCCAAGTGATAGAGTGAGGAAAAGTAGAATGAAGAAACTATACACGTATCTGTATACAAACATACATACTTGTGCATGCGCGTATACCCCCATGTTACAAAATATACCACTATCCTGAGGATGGCAAAAGATGTACTTAATATAGTAAATAAGAGTCTACAGTAATATTTTTGTTGCTACAGATAAAAGAGGCAAATGAAAACCTGCAAGAGGATGAAGAAGATACAATTGCAGAGTCTGCATTTCAGAGCCACATTATAGGTAAGAATTCATGTCTTCATACATCTTCAGCTGAGATATTTTCTATGTGACCTTCTTTCCGACACGGTGTGTTCCTAAAGACCTTTCTATGCCTCCCACTGTCAGAACTGGGTCCTAACTTCTCTCGTGTGGTTACCTTTATCTTCGGAGGCATGGAAAGCTACCATAAAATAAATAGGTCCACCTATGCAGAAACCATAGGTGCTTGCAAAGGACTGCAGTGCAAACTGATGAGAAGTATTTGTCACCATAAAGCGAAAATACTGAGTGTAAATAATTTTTCCCTGAGGAGATAATCAAGTGAATTGATCCAATTTCTATAGCAGTTGTCTCAAGAAGCACCTTGTGCAACTACTATTTCTTAGAAATGTGGAGTGGGGTGGTGGCTTTCTTAAATTGAATGTTTTTAAAATTGAATATTTTTTTTTACACAAAGAACCAACAAGGTTAAGTACGTATGGCTTAGCCAAAAATCTTCAATTTATTTTCTGTATTATTTCTGTTAGAATCCTCATGATAGCTAGTCCTGTCTCTGAAATAATTTTGGCTTGTTAGCTATTTCTTAAAGTCATGCAACAAAAGAACAAGAAAAACAAATGAAGAAACAAAATTAATAGACACAGACAATAGTTTTGTGGTTACCAGAGGGTAAGGGTCGGGGGGAGGGGGTAGTGGATAAGGGTAAAGGGGGTCAAATATATGGTGATGGAAAGAGAACTGACTCTGGATAGTGAACACATAATGTGATATATAGATGATGTACTACAGAATTGTGCACCTGAAATCTATGTAACTTTGCTAACAATAGTCACCCCAATAAACTTTAATTTAAAAAAATCATGTATAACCCTACATTGAAAGAATACAGGTTCCCAACCAAAGAGACTGCCAACCTGTTTTCAGCAGCCGGGAGGTAACTGGTGATGGACTAGCTGTCTGTGACTGTGATCCTTGTCAGTAGGAAGAAGAAGTGATACATTTAACAGCTCTGAGCCACCTTAGACACTTGCAGGATTAGTCATTCCATAGACTCTAAAAAGGCTATGGATATAAGCATGCTGATTATGTAGCTTTATGTAAGACACTGAGGCATGATGGGATCATTTCTTCAAATCACCTGTGAGTGTAGGAGAGAGTATTGGGTCCCATGTTCTAGGACATGACAGCCCCACAAATTTCTGGAATAATCCGTCCTGCTGCTCTTGCCCTCTCCCTGTGGGACCTTTCGCTGCCAACTCTCAGCCTCTCACTGCTCTTAGCACCACGTTGGTACAAGCTGTGGCTAATTTTCTAGCATACCCAGCAGTCTTTGTAAGCTGTAATTTACAGTTTATCTCAGAGCGTTATCATGCCCCCACAGCTCCCTGAGACTGGCACACCATTATCATTCTTTTCATTTGTAATTGGGACCACAAGTCTTGACAAACAGCTGAATGAGTGTAGTCTGAATAAGATTATTATTCCAAAAAGACATCCTTTATTATAGTTGTCAATGTAACATGCTTAAATTGGTATCAGTTCTGCATACTTAGCTAATATGCAAGTTAAATATTGTTTAACAGCCTTCAAACGTGACACTCTGTAAAGACCCCACTGAGTCATCAGTTTTCCATAATGAGGTATTCTTGGGCCTGTAAGATAACACATATAAACTTAGATGCTGAATTTCCTTTAAGGGAGCTATAGTAATCTACATGGTTTTAATAGACTATCAATTCTTTAGATCCCGTGCTGTTCAACATGATAGCTAGTAGCTATATATATGTATTTCTATTTCAATTTAAATTAAAACTACATAAAATTAAAACATTATTTCTTTTATTGCACTAGCCACATTTCAAGTGTTCAATGGCCACATAGTCTATATCATCTGTCTGAACAGTTCCATCATCACACAAAGTTCTTCTGGAAAGTGCTGCTTTAGATTATTTTCATGAAAGTAAATTTAGACCATGCTTTTGACAGAGAACTGACTTGGTCTTCAAATAATTCAAATAATTCTCCATAATTGTAGACTCATCTCCTCAAACTGGTGGAGAACTATATAAATAAGCTTCTACTGGATGCCAGTAACAGCAACACAACTGGCTAGCCATTACTAAAGTAATACAGTCATTTAATCATCTTATGTAATTAAAAGTCTGGAGGAAGGCAACATGAAAGAGGCATAGCCATTTAACAGTGTTATCAAAATCCCTGGCTTTTTGTCCTCATGCTTGTTGCTTCTGATGGCAAATTGATTCCTACCACTCCAGGCATCCCGTCTACATTCAAGGCATAGAGTATAAGGAAGAGTAAAAACTCTTCCAGAACCCACCCCTTTTCCCCATAGACTCCAGCTTATAGGTCATTGGTGAGAACTGCACAATCCTAGATGCAAAGCATATTGGGAAAGTAAGTATGCTGCTTTCCAGCCTCTATGTAATGAGGTAATAGGGAGAATGGTGCTGAGAATTTTTTCTGGTTAACCAATCAATAGGATCACCACAGACCATTTACTTACTTACTTATTTATTTATTTATTTATTTATTTATTTATTTATTTATTTTAAGATTTTATTGGGGAATTGGGGAGGAGAACAGTGTTAGGGAATTAAGGAAGAGAACATTGTGTTTCTCCAGGACCCATCAGCTCCAAGTCAAGTTGTTGTCCTTCAGTCTTAGTTGTGGAGGGTGCAAGCTCAGCTCCAAGTCCAGTCACCACTTTCAATCTAGTTGCATGGAGGGGGTGGGGGTGGGGCATAGTCTACCATCTAATGCAGGCATCAAACCCACAACCTTGTTGTTAAGAGCATGTGCTCTCACCAGCTGAGCGGCTGCTCAGCTCAAGGTGCCGTGTTCAATCTTAGTTGCATGGGGTGCAGCCCACCATCCCATGCGGGAGTTGAACTGGCAACCTTGTTGTTAAGAGCATGCACTCTCACCAGATCAGTGGCAGTTCAGCAGCAGCTTAGCTCAGGTGCAGCTCACTGGCCCATCTGGGAATTGAACTGGCAACCCTGTTGCTCAGAGCTCACACTCTAACCAGATGAGCCACTTGGCCGGCCCCACCACAGACCTTTTAAAAAGTTCATCCACTTCAAGATTGAATGAGACTCAACAAGTCAAGTGGTTATTTATCTTTATTCCACAAGGACTGAAAATATAATTTTTAGCACCCCGATAATCCCAATGTTCTTCATTTTGTCTAGACTAAGTGTTGTCACATATCCTCCCAGTATTTTATAACCATAGAATATTTCCAGTCACATCAGCTGAGCAAATCTAAATATGTTCTTTTTTCTAACCAGTTATCAGCTAATGTATTTGACAAAAAAAAACAATCATTAAAGTGGTGAATCTAGATGGTTGCATTTCTGTGATTTAAGGATAATCATGTTGGTTTAATCAAAATGTTATTAGTTGATTACAAGATAAGATATTATAAATTGAACCTGCTCTATACTGAAATTCAAGATTCATGAATTAAGTAAAATAATACAACTAGATTTTTTTCTTTAAAATTTCCCTAAGAAATGTCAGAATTCCATGTTAATAAGCAATGAGCAAATGACTAGCCTCATCTAATAGAAGTATTAACACAATTTATCACAACCACCATATTTCTGGTTGTTCTTTCCTGTTAGTTAACTATTATAACAGATTCACCCTACATATTATACTAATTATCAATAGGACTAAATGATCAGTAGGAATTCAAATTATATTCTCTCATGTTTAAAACAATCAGCCACTGATATCTTCAAAAATAATCCCCTAAGTGAAGACAGAGGATTTGGAAATTTTTGTAAAGAGGAAAACATGGCTTTTGAGGAAAAAACCAAGCAGAATTTAGTGCTATCCAAGAAAAAAAAAAAGGTGCATGACAGACTTGTGAAGTGAAGGATACCTATTATTTTTCCTAAAAGTAAAAAATTTACAAAGGACAATTTGTCCAGTAGGCCAGTAGCCCAGTAGGCAAACATCCCAGTGTCCGGTGTAGAATGAAATCTGTTTACTGTTTCACATTGGCTGGATGGACCCCTACTTTCTCCTGAAGGAACCTCTGGCTCCTACCACCAGAGACACACCTTGACAAAGGACAAGGTCAGGCCCTGAGGTTCCAGCTTTCTTAGGCTTACTCTGTGAACATGTCTTGGTGCTCTCCTTCCCACTTCAGTAGTTGCCTCCAAGGGGTCTTTCTAGTGTCCTCCTTTCCTCCCTAGGTGGCCTTAGCCAGCAGCTAATTAATGTATTATGCAGGATGATAACAGGTGCTCAACAAGTGCCATCCCCCACACTTTTGACTTACATAACAGATCATACACCAGTTTATTTCCATTTTCCCAAAATGTTCCATTTCCATATTCTGTCCTCTCCTAGACTTTACCTAACTAACCTGGTAAACTAACTCATTTCAGTGGAGTAATGGATTAAACAGCTGCCTTTCCGTGTCCCATATTTGCATTGTAACAAGAACTCAAGAAAAGATTTATCTCTAGTTAAGAAGAACCCTTGGGACCTAACATTTGAGGCGTTCAGGTCACTGGTTTGACCAAATTATAGGGTGAGGAAGGAAGGACAGGAATCAACCCTATTTCAGACAATGAACAGCACAAGCAGCAGTGTTAGGAGGAAAAGTTATTTGTCATCTAACCCTACTCTGGAGCAATGGTCTGCCTGAAGTTTAAGGAGTGAGACAAAGCTATGTTGAGCCAAATAGAGAAGATTTGGATTACCAGGTACAATGGCCATTTGACTTCTGTACCACATACACCTTGTTCTTGTAAGCTTTTATCATCCAACCATAAAGCATCTACTCCATATGAGCCCAGTCTGGAGTTCAGTAGAGAAGGAAGGGATAAAAGAATCGTATGATACACAGATATTATTGTCAAGGAAACTATGCACTGAATTCCAGTGAAGGTCAGCAAATGCAGCAGCGTCTTCACCCAGCAGCAGAGAGGAGGCCTGGACTAGTATCCAATGTGTGTGGCTGTGGTTCTTCAGGAGAAAAAGGG